AATAAATGGGTATAGCTGTGGTCAATAAGTTAACTTACTAAAATAGGCCTCAGGGAGTGTTTTGCCAAGTCTTGAACTAATATCATTTAGGGAAAAATATGTCTTCCCCCATTAGTCCTACTTTTTAATTTTTTTATTACAATTATTAAATGAAGGGGGTGCTCCCCCCAAAACAAAAACACTGGATGGAGCTTTCGTAGTACACATTTTTTCCTTCTAGGGGAGCATCGAGCAACTCGCTCTGAGTTAGTGCACTCAGTGGCGTTGCTGGGCAAGGTTCTCTCTGGTCACAATAAATTTTTTCGTAAAAGCAGGTTCACTTGAACCTTAATGGCCGATTTAAGATAACTGCATGTTTACAAGGACATCCGTATAGGAAAAACTCAAGTGTATGAGTGGTTTTCTTGTTTCAAAAAGGGTGAAATGTCAATTGATAACAAAGCTCATTCTGGACTTCTGTCAATTTCCTGAATGGAAGAAATGTGGTCAAAATCCATGCACTTGTGCTTGAACACTGATGGTGGGTCACTGAAGGGATGGGGAAGTGATCTGGACTCTCACAGAGCTCGATTCAGGGAATTTTAGTGGAAGATTTGGGAATGAGAAGGGTCACTGCATAATTTGTGCCTCGGGTTCTGACCAACCAGGAAAAAGAGCAAGTCGGTGGAAACATGTCGTGCTTTGAAAGAACAGCTCTGAATCAACCCGGGCTTTTTTTGAAAGGTCATTACTGGTGATGAGACATGCTGCTATTCTTGACTCTAAATCAATCAAGCCAGTGGAAGACGCCATTGTCGCCTGCTCCCCAAAAGTTCAAGGGAAATCAAAGCTCATGAGAATGCTCATTTGTGTTTTGATATGAGGAGGATTTGGAGTTTGTTCCACCAGGTCATCCTGTTAATCAAGCTTTCTACTTAGAGGTGCTGAGAAGATTGCACAACAGTCTCCAACCCAAAAGGCCTGATTTGTGGCAGACAGGGGTCTGGCTGTGCCATCACAACAATGCGCCTGCTCATGCAGCCATCTCAGTGCATCAGCTTTGGGCAAAATACAGCATGCCTCTCTTGCCCCATGCACCTGACTCACCGGACCTCACTGTGTGATGTCTTTTTGTTTCTGCAAATGAAGAGGGACATGAAAGGTCAGCAATTTGACAGTGCAGAAGAGGTGAAGAAAAAATGAGTGCGGCCCTTGTCCTTGTCCCTGGGTTTGTTGGCACCTCCCTTATTTTCCCCCACCACCCCCTCTCCCATGTCCTCCCATTGTTTTCCCCTCTGGATTGTTTATCCCGCTTATCTTATCTAGATAGACATGCAGAAACAATAATAAGCACAAAAACCAGGCAAAGCAAAAGAAAACAGCAATGACAAAAGCCAAGGACAAAAAAAGAAAAGCCTATAAATAATCCCAGATCTGTTTGGTGACCTTTAGGAGTGTTTTCCAGTCGAGTCTGATGGGGTGCCATGCCCTGGCCCCAAGGACTACGTTTGCGATGGGGACTTCATTGTTTTGCTCCCCTTGCTGCTCTGATATTTGCCCTTAGTGTTTCACCCCGGTGTGGTGGGGTCAGATGGGGCACAAGTTCTGCACTGTGCCTTCAGTGTTGTCCCCCATAGCACTATGGGCAAAAAGAAATCTTAAGGAAGGAAATCAGGGCTGTAAGGTAGGATGAGGTAAAGTGTGCCAACTCCATACTTGTAGGACATCCCTTGTGACCCTCCAAGAATGAGCTGCTGCTTTTCCTAATGGAAAAAAAATTCCTTGGGGCATGTGTTCTGGTCTTTTTCTCACCAATACAGTTTTCAATTTCCTTAACATCTCCTCCTCTTCTGCCACCGCTCAGAAGATTGTCCTTTGAGGTCCCCCAAATCAGTCATCTCAGGTTTGATTTTACCTAGGTCCAGCAGATCCCCTCGGAAAGGACTAATTTGAATGAACAAAACTCTTCCTTTTTTAAGAAGGCAAGAGGGGCCTTCAAATACTTTATGGAAAAAATGTAATTACAAGATAATGGAATTATTCTGTAAACTTTTTAAAGCCCCCTTACATTACTGAGAACTTGTCTGCAGCCATTCACTGACTAGAGACACATAAACATGTTTCATTTAGTATAAAGTGCACGAATGGAACCCTAGTACCAACTTTTTGTATTATCTTTGTATTTTATCTTTTATTCTACTTTTGACTCTATATCCAAATGACTGCAATTAAGACTCAAATGTGTAACTTAGAAGTGTCAAACAGTATTAGTCTCATTTTTATTAAGGCTTTGAATAAAAACATAATTCTTTAAGATGATCATGATTCTTTGTGAGGGATAGACATATAAATTGTGGGGGAAAACTCATTAAAAACAATTCACTGATGTAGTCAGGTCATTTAAACAGTTTCCTAACTCTTTTATTAATTCATGAGCAGAAGTTCAATTTAAAATGAAAAGCAGGGGGAGTGGCATCAATATCTCAACAACATTATCTTTCGAATGGCTATTCTTGTTCAAGATAAATAAAATATTTAGTTGACTCAAGTAAAATCTATTAAAAAAACCCACTAGTAGTTCATATGCATGCATGAGTGAAAACAGATCTCAAAGAACTAGCACAATAGAGTGGAATCATGAAATTTTAGATTTGTGAGGTTCCTTGAGAATAATTTTGTTCACCACCACCGTGTTACATTTAATATCCTCCTGACATTTAAACTCACAATTTTCCTTGAAGAACCACTTCCTCCCTCTTTTATTCTGTGACTCTGCTTTTGAGTGAGGCTGGGCAGCCCCAGGAGTGAGCACAGGACTCAGACTAGACTCACTGTAAACTTTTGGTCAGGACTGGTTCAGGGTTAAGTTTCTGGCCTAAAATAAGACGTCAGAATCTTTTAGGCTCAGGTCCGGGGCATTTCCTAGTATTACCAGGAAAGAGGAACTTTCTTCTATACACTCTCTTTCTTCTCTCTCCTCCTCTTCTGGTAGTGCTAGACTTGAGCATGTGTCCAGGGGGTTGCCAGCAGTGATTCTGAGACTGGCTAGCCTGAGAAAGAAGTCAGCACAGCATCGAGGTGAGCTAAGCTGCAAGGAAATCAATGTGGATGGTTTGAGTCTCTAGATCTGGCTGTAACTGAAACCAGAAATCTTTGGCTTTTATAGCCACAATGGAAAACCATGCTTTTTTCTTCTTAAACTTGAGTTGGGATAGATGCAACCAAGAGTCTAGACAAATAACAGTGGGGTTGTCAATGAAAAGAGGTGACATTAGCTAAGTGAGAGAGGCACGACTCCATCTGTAACTGTTTTTTGTTCTGGGAGATGGTGGCACTATGAGTAGATGAGCAAGTCAGTTAAATCTCTGTGCAAAGCAGTCATGTGAAAGTGGTTACTATTGGGCAAGCTCCTTCAACACTATGCACCATGTTCAGACTTTTCTTTGAAAAGGGGAAGCATTCTATCACCCAAAATTATCTTCATCATGTTGGCTAATATCTGTTGAGCACTTACATATCTGAACGGTGTTCTAAACATCAGAATTTGTAAATCTCACCATGATCCTATGCGGCTGTTGGTGGTGTTAATTGCAGTTGATATATTTATTTGAGGCTATACATACATTTTCTATTTATTAAATATTATTTTATATTTATTTATTTATATATATTTATTTGAGGCTATTTTACATTTGAGAAAACTGGGCCCTAAGAAAGAAATTTCTGGTACAGGATCTGAACCAGGCAGCCTGACGCCATCACCTGTGTCTTAACCACTGAACTGTCCAGACACCTTATAAATGCTTCCCTGTGGCGCCCAACACTGTGATGGAAAGTCAGGCCCATGGGAAGAATAGGGTACCCAGACTGTAGAATTTTATTATGTTTTCCCCATCGTGTCACTTATGTGGAATACTTGGGATAATTTCATGACACATACGGGTCGCTTTGACTTAAATAGCTGTACATTTATTTTAAGCCCTTAAAATGTTTAGATAATAAGCTCACACTTTCATGAATATTCTTGCTTAGACTACAGCATAGTTTTTTTTTAAGTGATTAGATTCAAAGGTACACTTATTTCCTACTTACATCCCCTATAGATAAACTCATAGCAATTCCATAGGACCATGTAGAATTTCCCCACAGGGTTTCCAGGGCTGTCAAGGTCTACAGGTGCACACTTCCAAGTGTTCTCCACTGAGTGGGACCTTTCAGTCAGTAGCTCAGTTCTTAATTATTGCAGCACAAGGGCTCCTCATGCATCAGAATCAACTTGATGGCAATGGATTTTGTACAGATGAGACGTCTGGGTGGTACAAATGATTACCATCTTTGGCTGCCAACCTCACGGTTCGAGGTTCTAGATCACCCAGAGGTGTATCAGAAGAGAGGCTTTGCAATCTACTTTTGAACAATCAGTAGAAAAAAAATCTATGGGCCACAGTTCTATTGAATAATAATTAAAAACCAACCAAAACTCAAAAAGAAAACTGCTGTAAAAACGTATTAATACTGTTCATTCTTTGCATAACTATTTAGTAAGTTCATAAAACTAATTCTCCAAGGTTTCTTTCTCCGTGGCAAGTACAGATCAATAAACCATGCCTTCTTCACTCATCCATTAGCAGAACAATGAAAGCAGGTAAAAACCAAAAGAAAACAGAGCATGTTTCATTTGTTTCACGTTTACTCCCTGATAGGAAATGGGAGTGGGAGTATCAGACCCTCATTTAACAGGGGGCGCTCCCGCCTGACTTCCCTCCAGCACGACACCAGCTGACGTCCTAGTTTAGTTGGAAGACATGTGTAATGCATGCCTGGGCTTCTGCTGTGCATGTATTTTAAACTCTTTCATGACTCCTTGACATGGGCAGTGTCACTGACTAAGTTCAGTGGAACGAATCATCAGGGAACCGTTCAAATGTTGTGATTTTAGGGATAAGCCTAGAGTGTCATAAGAAGAATAAATTTGCCTAAGGAGTAGAATGGACTGAAAGAAATAAAACAGATTTTTAAACTTTTAAAAACACACGATTTTATTCAAATTTGTATGCAGATATAAAAATTAACAAACATTAAATAAAAACCTAATTTAAATGCTCTCCCACTATAAAACTGGACATTATGGAAAAGTTCACATTCTCTGAATTATAATTTTGCAACTTTCTACCACCAGAAGGCAGATGCTGCTGGAGGGGTGGGGGGGAGGAGGGAAAGGGGGAGAGGATGCTGACACACCTAGCAAGTGGGGTTAAGCACTGTCTCATCTCCAGGTGACATAACTTCAAAGGTTTCCCTAAGAGTTAAGGGTTCTCTAGTCTTGATGTAAAAAATTGAATGTTTTCCCACAAAAGCATATATGAGGCTTCTGGTTTTACTTTTAGTGTGAGGTAAACAGTATATTCAATATTAAGGCAAATGGTAAAATATGCATATAGAGTATGAATGTGGACCTTGTACTATAAGACAAATAAAAAATTGAAATAAAGGTGAGTTTTGTAAACATTTGCTGGCATTAGAAAAATGTAAAAAATGTGGTGCTTAATAGTTGTTTGGCTGTATTTAGCTTTGGTAGTTACATGTTAAATATAACGTTGTCTGAGCTCTTAGGGTTTATAGTTTTCATCATATAGACTAGATGCCCACCAAATTTCTTATAAATGAACTATGGCCTGATGTCTCTAGATCTGCACATTGGTCTTATAAATCCCTCCCCTAAATCAGCAAGAGTCTGCACACGGCAAGCTCAGCAAGACAGAAAAGAATGAAAACCCAAGACATAATCTTCAAGCAGGTTACAAGAGAAAGAGTATTATTTAGGTTTCCCAGATAGCTTATTTTTTTTAAAAAAAGGTTACATTTAAGATTTATCAGAGAGTGATTCTTGTTCTCCTTTAACCCCCCTTTCCCCAATGAGATAACCATTTTCTTCACAGTGATAAGAGAGCCATCCTTTGCTGGAAACAGTAGGCTTCCTTTCCAGTGGATCGGGAGGAAGACCTCACTTCTTTGCCACGCTGGCCACCGCCTTCTTAGCTGCATCCTCCAGGTCAACGGCTGAAGTAATGGGAAGTCCACTGTTAGTGAGCAAGTTCTGCGCCTCCTGGACATTGGTTCCTAAAGAGAGGAATGATGGATTGTCATCGAGCAGAAAGTGACGATGGTGTCCTGTGAAAGTTAGCACAGTCCCAAACCACAGCATGCTGGATGCCACCTAACACTAACACGATTTAATTACAAGTGTTTCCTTTTGTTTTTGTGATCCCACTCATCTGGCTAGTTACATAGATCCAGATGACAAATTAACTTTTTTTCTCCTTACACATCAACTGTCTTGCATTAGAAAGAGACTGCCCGTACTTTTCTTGTACATGCATTTTTAAAAAAAAAGTAACTTCTCACTTATTGACATGATTAATTTCCAAAGACCAGGTTGCTATGGGAAAATGGAAAATGACCAAATCACATCACAAAATGGAGCGATGATGACATCATATAACTCCCAAATTACATTATCAAACAACTGCCAAACCACGAAGAATTATGGCACAGCCAAGTTGGCCCACACTTCAAGCACACTGCCCATGTTACTCTCACCTTGACAGCTTACAGCCTGACCTACTTCATGAATTTTCAGAACAGGTAGATTTGTTCACGGTTGTTGGGTGAAATGTCAGATTATGGGAAAGTCAGCAGGCAAGCAGTAAGTGTAGTGCATAGTCTTTTGAGATTGTGCACAAAAATGTCCTTGACTGAACAGTCTGCATATGGAGCCCAAAGAAAACCAGTCCAGTGTAAAACATGAGCAGGGAATGAGACAGGGCGGTGGAATGGTATGTAATACTGCAGGTGACCACTAGAGGCCATGCACGACGGATCTATCAATTGGTGTCCCCTGAAAATTCATTAAACGTCGGTTCCAACCAATTTCACTGAAAAGCCATGTGACAAGAGCTATCTAAAGCAATGGTTCAGATAGAAAAGGGTGATGGAAAAGCGGGCTTGAAAGAGACATCTGAACATGTTTTAGCAAGGACAGTTGGCGTTTCTGCTGATAATCCACAGCTGAGTTGAACTAACGTGGTTTGGGCGCACACCAGAAGGCATTTGCCTTCGAGACTTCTTGGATGGGAGGGGTGTAACAGCCCAGCCCCTCCGCCTGAAGGGACACGCTTGGCTACAGCTGAGGGTGCAAACTGCTGTTAGGTTCTCTCAAAGTGAGCAACCCACTAAGAGAATTGTGACAGAATTTAACAGTATAACAAATATCTCTTACGTAATCCCCTAGGCTTTTATTTAATTAGCAAGATATGGCCTATGTGATAAAGAAAGACTTTGAAATATAGGCCTTTGGTAAGGTGACCAGATTTTAACATTGGTAAAGCGGGACACCATTGATAAAACTCATATCCTGGCGAAATAGCCACATGGCAGCTGAAAACCGTATACCCTAGCTTGTCGTGGATTCTTTCCAAAGATCGGGTCTTTTTTAAAATGCCCGGGATGCAGGAAAAATTGTTAAAAAGCGGGACTGTACCGCCAAAAGCGGGACTTCTGGTCACCTTAGTGGGGAACCTACCTCACCATGGAGTGGAACTCAAAATAAGTACTTTGGTCAGCATCGTGTACACGATATGGCAAAAGCTGGGATAAGCTGGAGCAGGGGGATCTAGTGTTTATTCGCTCCAGGATTTGGGGTCCACCAGTGTAGCAGTGGAGAGGACATTGATACCATGACATCTGCCCAAGCCTCCCCGTCTCTCAACTAGGCTCTGCCATGTCTTAGTTCTAGAATTTTGGATAATGCAACTAGTTCCTTTGAGCCTCAACTACTTTGAACTTTTCCTAATCTCCACACATCACATTATCATCACAATGTTCTTCTTCAGAACCAGTACTCATTAGTTATATATCCCAGCTATAATGCTAAGTAACTTGTAGTATATGAAATAGTTACAATAAATATATGAGGGCTTACCACCCCCCCGCCCCGCAAGCCTGGATTTCCCCCCCCCCAAAGCTATGTATTAAATTTTTTTTTTACAAGACAACCTTATCACCTTCAAATTACTCTCCATTATACTTAATATATTTGTCAAATCTTCAATTCCACTCTTGGAAACATTTTTCAAGCGGATTTTCTGGATGGCTGACAGCACCTCCCTTGTTTTGTTCTTCACCTCTTCTACATCATCAAATCGCTGTCCTTTTATGTCCCTCTTCATTCACAGAAACAGAAAAGGATGCACGGAGCACAGTCAGGTGAGTAAGGTGCCTGGGGCAAGAAAGGCACGCTGGGGTTTTAATGTTTTTGTCAAAATCTGGAGCACTGAGATGGCTGTGCGAGCAGATGCATTGTTGGGGTGGCAACACTCGTCCCCTGTCTGCCCCAAAGCAGGCTTTGGCACACACTGTTACACAGTCTTTTCAGAACCTCTAAATAGAAAGCGTGATGAACAGCCTGACCTGGTGGAATGAACAACAAATGCACTACGAGGCGAGTTGACATTTTCATCTGTTTGGGAAGTTGACGGATGCCTAGACTGAGGTTTGTCATCAACTGACATTTCACCTTTTTTTTGAACCGAAAAAAACTCATACACTTGAGTTTTTCCCATAGCGCTGGACTGTAAGCTGTGTTCAACATCACACCAATTTCTGTGGCATTTTTTCCCAAGCAAGAAACAAAATTTCACAGCTGCATGCTGATCTCTTAAATGGGCCATTACCCCCCCCCCCCAAAAAAAAAAAAAGATTTGAGTGAAAGTGCTTTTATGAAAAACATCACTGTAAGCAGAGAGAACCTTGCCAGGCAACAACACTGGGTGCACAAACTCTGAGCGAGTTGCTGTCTGCTCGCCTAGCGGGGGCAAAAGGATACTACAAAAGCTTCAGTCCGCCCAGAGGAATTCCGGTTTGGGGGGGGGGGCCCTCGTAAATCTCACTGTTTGTATTTTACGAATGAAGACCTTTGAGGCACTGAGAAGGTAAATAGCTATTCCCTAGTCACCCAGGTGATACGTGGCAGGCCTGGGACATGAACCCTGTCCTAATGAAGCGGCCCTGAATGCCCCGAAGTTATTCTTAGCATGCTTCCCTGTTTGTTAGACAAGAACAGTAATGTAGACGCACATAAGATGCAATTAGGAGAAAATGAAATAACATATGGGAGAGCATGTTGCAGATGGCAAAATATCTGTGAATATTTGTTCATCAAGGATTTATGCCCCACTGGAAACTTTCCCAGCCACCTTTGCATCTCTGTGACACCATAGAACCAAGTTCTTGCCAGTGGAATGTTAATGGATACGATACACATGTCATTAAGGGATCCGATGTGGACCTCTTGTGCTCCGTTTTCCCTATTTTCATGAAGGCTGCCTGCTAGGGCAACCTGGGAAGGCATCTTTCGATGGTGAGAATGACGTCAGCCAGGGCCCTTGGAAACTTGTGCAGCACAGTCTCCCTTATCCATTCACCCTTTCAGACGTTATGAGAATGAGAAGGAATTTTCTAGGATTTTAAACTACTCACATTTGAACCTTTATCTAAGATAGGCACTAACATTAGTCTAATATGCTCTAGATGTTGTGCAGTTATAAAATGTTACCCAAATGATCCCCACTCTCCCGTTATTCACGTCCCACTGAAAGCAGACTGCATCCAGTGACTTGATTTCAATGAACAGACAGGGACAAATGTGATGAAATACCACTTCTGAGATTAGGTTACAAATCTGGTGACTTCTGACTTGGTCAAATCTCTCCGGCTCGATGTTCATTCTGATGAAACAAGCTGGCATGGTATAAGCTTCCTTCTAGTGAACACCACGTCGAAAAAAAGTGTGCTCTCCAGCCAACAGCCACTGGAGTTGTGAGGACTTCCGTCCAGTAAGCCATGAGGAACTCCGTTCTGCCAACAACCACAGCAGTGTGCCTGGAAGCAACTCCCTCCCCAGTCAAGGCTTGAGATGCTGATCCCTGGCAGAAACCTGGATTGTACTCTTGTAGGGAACCCTGAGTCATAGGACCCAGTGAGACTGCGCCCAGATTCCCGAGCCATAGTATCGGAGAGATCATGAAGATTCCTTGCATGGAACTACTAATTTTGGGGGTAATTTGTTCTTTGGTGATAGATCACTAATCTAGATGCAAAATGTATTATTTTGTTACTATAGTCCCAGTGTGGTTTTGATTCATTTGGCAAAGTTTTAGCTAAGATCCCTGAAGTCGAGAGGCAGGACAGGGAACCAGACTGTGGGGCAGGTGTTAGAAACGAGGCTAGAGGATTTCAGTGTTAATCTGCATACCTGGCTTTCACGGCGTAACGACACAGCATGAAACACAGGTTTTTGCTGATGTGGAAGTGACTCAGTCTTTGGACCAGAAGGTGAATGAAAGTTAAATGTGTAAATTCCCATCTCCCTGAATGTGGGCTTGCTACCTGACTACTGTCTAATCTGTCATGGAGAAATGTGATATAAAAGATTCTTCTCTTTCCTCTCTTTCCTTTTCAGAGCACCCACCAATGCAAAACACACTTCGAAGGCTTCCCTGCATCACCCCAAGAAGCAATTCTACTTTCCCAGTGCGAGTCCTGCTGTTGGTGTGGATCTTAGCCAGGTATACCGACCAACAACTTTGAACGCCTTTGGCACAGGATATAGGAGTGGTGGTTGTGGTAGTGGTCTTAGTAACAGGAATAGTAATAAATGGCAGCTGTCATGTGTCACATATCACACATAATTCTTGCATTCAGAGTAAGCTCATTTCCCCTCAACAGCAATCACAAGACCGTTGTTAGTATTCCCATTTTACAGATGACAAAATGGAAGTTAAAACCCTTGTCTACAGCTTAGCTAGCATGGGTGGTGGGTTAGGCTGGGTTAACTAGAGAAACAAATCCAGTGACACTCATATATATATGTAAGAAAGAACGTTATATCAAGAAGTAATTATATATCAAGAAAATATCCCAGCCCAGTCCAACTCAAGCCCATAAGTTGAACACTAGTCCATAAATCGCTCTTTGGACTCACACAGCCCATCACACGGCTGCAGCCACATGCAATGATGCAGACTGCAGGGAGATCCCAGGCCAATGGGATAGAGTCGTGT